AATGATAAGGCTATCGTATGGTTGGACAGTGTATAAGATCCGATGAGGTATAGTGTGCGTTTCAGAGTAAGAAAACCTGTTCATCATAGTATTAAAGCTGTTATATAGTATTTGATCACAATAGGTGCAGGTACAATCTTAGATTTAAAAAAAATCGCGAACAATCATAATACTCTATTGTGACAAGTTTTTCAAATACTCCATTTTATGTCATCACCTTCTGTGGAAGATGTTCTCTGTACCGTCACGGCATAGTCTCCTATCCCTGACTCCGGATCTCTGTAGCCGTCCCAGTTGGCGGACACGGTGGAAGGTTCGGACGAGAACTCCAGGTCTGAGTCCGGCTCCAAACCGTCTCGTAATGTGCCTTCCACGGGTGGCGTGGCGTCAAACAGGACTTTAAAAAGGATTAAACAATAAATGGTTTTTAAAAGTACTAGATTAGCTGGTTAAGTGAACTAGGTGGTTACAGGCAGGACAACTGAGGTTAGCTTCAGGAGAGACGTTGCTGTATTCTGGACATACAGAGGATGGAGCCTCCCACTCAGAGGGTGTGGCCTTCATGCTGGCGCCAGAGGCACAACGAGCACTCATCGGCTGGGAACCGGTCTCTTCACGCATCATTACAGCTAAGTTTGCTACAAAGAAAAGCAACATCAACCTACATGTCATACAATGCTATGCCCCACTAACGATGCTGAGGAAGAGAAGAAAGATGCTTTCTACCAGCAGTTACAGGCAGTACTAGACAGGAGGAGGAATAAAGACATCACAATACTTATGGGAGATCTTAATGCCAAGATTGGTTCGGACAACACAGGTCATGAGGAGGTTATGGGAAAGGAAGGACTTGGTAAGATGAATGAGAATGGGGAAAGGTTTACAGACCTGTGTTCACTCAACCAACTGGTGATCGGAGGGAGTATCTTCATGCACAAAAGAATACACAAAGCCACATGGAGGTCCCCGGACCACATCACAGAGAACCAGATCGACCACATGTGTATTAGCCAGAAGTTCAGACGACTGTGGAGCGATGTAAGGGTGATGAGGGGGGCAGACGTATCATCAGACCACCACCTTCTTGTAATGTCTCTACGTCTGAGGCTGAAGAAGTACTCCACCACCACCAACTCCCGTAGGAAGTACAACGTGGGTCTGTGTATGGACAAGGATATCCAGACATCGTTCAAACTCACCCTCTCAAACAGGTTCCAGGCACTACAAGAAGTGTTTAAAGAGGAAGATCCAGACATAGAGAACCAGTGGCAACAGATCAAGGAAGGTTACCTTGTCACATGTGAGGACATCTTGGGCAGGAAGAAACAGCATCACAAGGAGTGGATCTCCTTCAACACCCTGCAGAAGCTGGATTAGAGGAAGCAAAAGAAAGCAGAGTTGAACACAAGCCGGACAAGATCTGAGAAGAGAAAGGCACAGGAAGCATACACAGTTGCTGATAAAGACGTTAAAAAGAGCATAAAGAAGGATAAAAGGGACCACTTTGACAGCCTAGCGAAACAGGCAGAGGAAGCAGCAGGAAAGGGAAACCTAAGGGACCTGTACATGGTGACAAGGAAACTGGCCGGCAAGTTTCAGCAAAGTGACAAACCAGTAAAAGACAAGCAGGGTAACCCACTCACAACAACAGAGGAACAACTAAAGAGATGGGCAGAACACTTTGGTGAGCTCCTGAACAGACCAGCCCCTGAAGCACCACCAGACATCCCGCCTGCAGATGCCGAGCTGCCGATAAATACAGGGAAACCAACAAAGACAGAGATTAAGAAGGCCATCATGTCTCTCAGGAATGGAAAGTCAGCAGGCCCAGATGACATACCAGCAGAAGCCCTTAAGGCAGACGTAGGAAGCTCAACCAACATTCTGCACAGTCTCTTTAGTAGGATATGGGAGGAGGAACACAGGATTGGAGGGAAGGCGCCCTGATAAAACTACCAAAGAAAGGAGACCTAGGGAACTGCAACAACTACAGAGGAATTATGCTTCTTTCAGTCCCAGGTAAAGTCTTTAACAGAATTCTCTTAGAGAGAATGAGGGAAGCAGTGGATGCCAAACTACGCGACGAGCAGGCAGGTTTCCGCAAAAACAGATCCTGTGCCGACCAAATCGCCACCCTACGTATCATCATAGAGCAATCACTGGAGTGGAACTCGCCTCTCTACATAAATTTTATTGACTACGAAAAAGCCTTTGATAGCATAGATAGAAACACTCTGTGGAAGATCCTACGACACTACGGAATACCAGAGAAGATCATATCCCTCATCCAGAGTACTTATAAGGATATGAGTTGCAGGGTACTTCATGCAGGACAGCTGTCAGAGAGCTTTGAGGTTACAACTGGAGTTCGACAAGGCTGTCTACTCTCACCCTTCCTCTTCCTCCTAGTGATCGACTGGATCATGAAGACCACCACTACAGGAAGGAGAAATGGTATCCAGTGGACACTCTGGTCACAGCTTGAGGACTTGGATTTTGCGGACGACTTGGCCCTACTCTCGCACAACCACAGGCAGATGCAGGACAAGACCACCACCCTGGACACAACTTCAAACAGTACGGGACTCAGAATCAGTAAAAAGAAGACGGAGGTGATGAGGATCAACACCACCAGCAACACACCTGTTACAATAGGAGGAGTACCAGTCAAGGAAGCCGAGTCCTTTGTTTACCTGGGAAGTGTAGTAGACCAACAAGGAGGTACTGACAGGGATGTTACATCTAGGATCGGCAAAGCCAGGGCAGCCTTTGTTATGCTTAGGAACATTTGGGCAGCTAGAGGGATCCGCATAGCCACTAAACTCCGTATCTTTAACTCAAACGTCAAATCTGTCCTGTTTTACGGTTCTGAGACCTAGAGGACAACAAAGGCAACGCAGCATAGGATACAAACTTTTATCAACACGTGTCTCAGAAGAATTTACAAGATCAGGTGGACAGATAGGATCTCCAACATTGAACTGTGGGATAGAGCAGGGCAAAAAAACAGCTGAAACACAGATCCTTCAAAGGAAGTGGGGCTGGATAGGACACACCTTGAGGAAACCACCATCCAGTATCACACACCAGGCCCTAACCTGGAACCCACAGGGAAAAAGAAAGAGAGGAAGGCCCAGAAATAGTTGGAGAAGAGACACTGAGGAGGAGATGAGGAGAATAGCGAACAGCTGGGAGGACCTGAGGAAGACAGCCCAGAGGCGGGTGAAGTGGAGAGCCATCGTCGGTGGCCTATGCTCTGGCAGGAGCGAAGGGCCTAAGTAAAGTAAGTAGACTAGCTGGTTGGATGGCGTGATTGCGATGAGGATGTTTGAGTCAAATATTCGTCACCTTAATGACTTGAATTGGAATAATACCAATAAGACTGGACTGCACAGTTGTAATGTATCTTTAAGTTTCTAACGGAAAGTACACATTTTAAAATTAGTTTATTAGTGGTTACGTGCGGTAAATTGTGTCAATTCCTGTTTCATTCGACCATTCTATCTCTTCTGAAATTATTATTTTTTGTTTCGTGTGGTAAAGTATCCTGTAATCAACCATAGAACAAAAATGATACTCAGCACAAAACTAACAAACAAACAAATAACTGTTAAAGTATTCATATTGATAAACATTGTTATGTTAAAATGTTGAATGTTGAAATGTGTGGAATGGTATTTGGTCACAGTTTAATAATATGCAAATAAATGACTTGAAGCATATACCTCCATCTGACGACCTTGAGATGTTCAGGTGGTCGTGCCCGTTGTTTACTGCCGACAGTATGGAGTAGTACGTGGTGTTGTGGACCAGTTGTACGTCTGCGCATGCCTGAGACGCCGTGTGAGGGTACTCAGTCAGAGGGACCATGTCGTCTGTTCCAGGTACCGTGCCCACTCCCCACAGGTAATGACCTGGTTATTCAACAGGAAATATCACATGTATTTACAGACGCACATATGTTATGACTTTGTTGTAATAAAGGTATGTAAGACTATAGCGAGCACTTTTCTCCGACTAATTTACTATCAAACCAGAGTGAAGGAAGTACTATGAGCAACCAAAGCTCGACCAAAGTTAAGGAAGTACTATCAAACCACTTTTCAATGTCAATATGTACTTCATCCAGCATTTTTTATTCCCTCAGTTACCTTAGGTATTACTTCAAAACATAACAACCAACCAAACAAACAAATGTAGAAGAGTAATGCGAATGTGATCATTTAGAATGAAGTATCCTTATTACTTGTTGGCTTAAGGGATTCCTAGCCCTCGAAACTTGGGCAGTTCTTCTCAAAACCAGGAGGCGTTTCAAGTGAGAATTGATGATTACTACGAAAATCACTTAAATAGCAGCTCATAATTCTCTGTTACTATGGAAACCAATCATCACAGCCTCCATTCCACCGCCGCCTATAGTAACACTTTACTTCTCAATCTGACAATAATTTGTTCATATATATACACACGAACACAGTGTTATGTGCATGCATGCATAAATCAACATTCGGTGTTCCGAATGTCCTCTGAATTGTTGGCCATTGATCTTCTAGTGGCCCGACCGGTGGCAGTTGGAGGTGTGATAGATAAGAAATTTAGTCAAGCTAATAATTAAAATGTAGCTTACTCAGACCACTCTCCTCGTCATGAAAGTCCTTCCAGTTTGCACATATCGTGTTGGGGTCAGAGGTGAAGTTCAGGTCATGTCCATGAACGCTGCCGTCATACAGGACCCCGGCAATGGGTGGTGACGTATCAACCAGTACAGGTCGGTCTGCATGGCCGGTCTCTCTCAGATCAACTGTCAACAATACATCAGATACTATAATTTCTAAATCACTGTATGTAGTTATGGTTCATGGCATCTGTTTGCTATTACAAAACCAAGACAAGCGGCTCGCCCTTTTGAAAAATCTTTGCAACAACTTACTTTGCCAATATAAATACAATTATACCCCCATCACATCGATCTAAGACATTTGCTTTCGCTACCTTCTTTGCACATTCAGTAATCTCTACTCTAACTGCCGATACTGTTCCTGACCTCTTCCCTTCCCCCAAGTTGACGATACACCACTCCACTCCAGGCCAGGCTACTGCATCAACCAAAAATTCCTTTACGAAAATGCATTTATTTAATTTAGTACAGTAACTGTATCATCACTTTGTGCCCCTAGGTTACATCGTGGATAGAATTAGCATTAGGAGATGAGCGCTAAAACTTTTAGCTAAACATTGTCGCCATGATAATGGTCACTGCATACATTGCGGCCAAATAAACTTTGCAGTTCTAACATTTCACCTTAGAAAAGCAAACCAAATCCAACCTTTCTTTATTCTAACATTTAAACAAAACAATATATAGTGGTGACGCACTCAAGCGAAATAGCTTATATTGAGGACACCACTGGACATAAAATAACAATTACAACACAGGACAAAAATATAATTTAAGGAACAGAAGGAGACATTTATGGTGATGATATCTGAATACACTATAAATTAGTGAACTGTGTATTACTGTGCGAGAATTTGAGTGACATGTATACAGTAGCACTTATCTACCAGATACCTTGTTTAAACATGAGCACTGGATGATGAATATGAGATCATACCGTTGTTAATAGCCCTAACTTTGACCCATGCAGGTATCCCATCAGGTATGTGGAAGTTGACAGACGTGTGAGTTGTGTTGCCATGACGATACCAGTCCATCATGTGTACGTCACGCTTGCTCCGTCCGAGCCCAAAGTCAATCTCCCGGATGTCGGAAAGGGGATCACTATTTATATCCAAATATAGCAATGGATTAAACTCACGGCGTTCAGATTCTAAGTCTAACCAAAAACAGGAGACCACTTTATATTATTTTACTACATTTTATCTGGAATTTATTTATTTATTGATCTTAAAAACGGTTGGGTGGTACCTTCAGTTTAGGACAACCGATTTCCAAGGTAGCCCAACATAAGACAGAAGAAGATACAAAGGGCATACATATGAAGACAATCAATTACTTAAACATGGAGATAATAAATAATATGAACAAAGAGTACAAGTAGTCAAAAGTAGTGGAATACTTTACGTTATTCATAAAGTCTTTGATAAATTAAGTTGTGTACCTGACGTTATACTCGGCTGAAATGGTAAAGTCTTTTTCGTCATACTGCACACTGTGGACGTGATGCACGAATGGCGGTGTGTTGTCTATAATGTAGGGCGTGGTGTGACACACTGTCGTTGCCATGGCACCGCCGAACTCAACATTGTTGATTGCCCGAACTGTGATATGATACACTCCGTCTAAATGGAAGATACGATCGGTATGTTATTAATTATGAGCCTTTGTTTCGTCGATGAAGGTTAGACATCCAGGTAATACGATACGCCAAAAAACAGTTACTCAAGCAACTGGATATGATTTTGAAAACGTCAGATGTTTCAGCTAGTATCCACTAGCTTTCGTCAGTGACTGAGAGACCAGAGGGGAAAGCAGGTTTATAAGTACAACCTGTTGATTGATATGCAAATAAAGTGAAGACAAATTTTTGGAAGTCGAAAAAGGAACAAAAGTCAGACAAGTCAAGACAAAATGATGCAAATTAGTCTGAAAGCTCCTGTTATACAGAACAGGAGCTTAAGTGTTGTCTGTTCTCGGGGCTGGGAGTGCCAAATCCCAAGTGCCGGAAAGATCGACTCGTAGCCCCCCTTCCCTGTTGAGGGTGGGGTTGTACATTCTTTCATATATTGCCTCTTTAACACCCCGTTCCCACCAGCGTGTTTCGCGGTCTAAGATATCCGTGGACTCGAGT